TATTTATTTACAACGTTTTTCGGTTTTTTCTTTTTTTTTGTAATTTTTGTGACAACTCACGTCACCCCAAGGAAGGTTAATGGCTGGTCAAAGATGACAAATTTTGCCAGGAAAAAAATGTCGAAATTTGTTATTTTTGAAAAATCCTAATTTCACGAAAAATGGGCAGCTTTAAGAGCAACGGTTAACAGCTAAAACTGTTGCTAGAAAAGGGGGCGCAAATTGCTTTGCATTCATAGATCTTTTGATTACATTAAAAAAGTATTTTAAATGTTACATTGCATACAATTACTAAGTGACCGAAACCTACAATTGAAGTTTTAAGTAAAAATTATTGTTTTAAATTGTCTAAATCATGAAACCCAGCTTTTCTGTAAATTGTATCACATATGTACAATCATTTATAATTTATATTGCAGTACGGTTTTAAATATTGATGCATATCACTACAACTTAATTGCCTATTTTTAAGTTACGTTTTCTGTAAGGTTTAATGTTCTTAAAGGGCTGTAAGCGAAATTTCAAGTGACCCCCTAATCGAAGATTTACAGAGCGCGTTACCCTTGAATTCTTAATCTGATCAAAAATGTGGTAGATACCGACGTTTTTATGACTCCAAAAGTGTTTAATTCTGAAGATTTCTCCATTAAGCAAGAAATTCGCAAGTCACGTTAGCAAGGAAACCGCGAAAGAAAATAAACAATTTAAAGATTCATATTCATAACCATTTATATCTAATTCCTACTTGAAATTACGCTTACAGTCTTAGTTATATTCATGTATCCAAGGTTTGAGAGAAGAAGGATTGATGTGATAAACCTCCAAGTTTTAGATTCTCAACCCGAGATAAATCAGAACTCTTTAAATCCGGCAACTCTCTATCCAAACCAAACCAATAATTTTAGATATTATTGAAAAACTAGGGATGGGACTTGTCGTTTTTTCATAGAAACCGTTTTGAACTTTAACCTAACGATATAAAAAAGTCGAAACAGGAAACATTCAAGAAAAATGATTATTTTAATAAGAAGAGACAATTTTTTCGTTTTCAAAACGATTACCAAAATAAATTTGTTTGTTTTTAAAGCTAAAACAACTTTTTCGTTTTTAATTTCAAAATTTTTTTGTTTTGTTTTTCGTGTTATAAAAATATCAAAACTATTTTTAAAAACAACCTCCAAAACGAATTTTGAAAACGAAGAACGATCGTTTCGAAACTAGTTTTTCAAACGCGAAGCCCATCCCTTCAAGACACGTGACATGTAGGGGGCCTTTTTTATGATTTAAATTTTTGTAATTCTTTTCTTGTAAAAGAGGCAAGTATAAAGAAAAAATAACATTAATTAAAGTAAATTTGAAAATCATGAGACGAGTAAAAACAGTCGAAAAATAAGGTTTGGTTGAGATTATTTCAATCGACTTTTACAGTTTAATAATATATAAGACAATAAGACAGAATTAAAGTTTCATAAATGACATATTTAGGGATAATACAAATGTAAATAGTAGATGAAATTGTAAGACGAGTTAAAGAGTTTAGACGAGTTTAGGGCCGTTCCAACCGGAATTCCGTTGCGTGGAATTGCGCGCAAGTGTTATAGTATTTCGCGGAATTTCGAGGAATTTATAGGATCCCCAACTGCGCGCAAGTAAAATCCACTGGTGGGAAACCCTAGACGAGTTGTTTTGTAGTTTAAGACAATGAGTTTTATACGTTTTTAAAACGAGTTAAAAAAGAGATGTGGACGTGTGTAAGACGAGTTTATGGTTTAAGACAAGGTAAGGACGAGTCGAGGACGATTTTCAGTTTTTGTTAAAGACGAGTTTGGTTCCTTAGTGAAGTCCAAACACTGAGTTCCTCCAGGGCAGGAAGCGCTCTAATTACACTGTGGAAAAGCAGAGGCTGACTAAATATACAAGGATTCAGAAAACTGATTTTTTTTGGAAAAAAAAGAATTTAAAATCAACTTTTCCCCCTTTTATTCTTTTTTAATGCATGCAAAATTCTTTGTGATTCAGCATATTTTGACAGTTTTTGCAACAAACTATAAGTTAGCAAAGATATAGGAATTAGAAAATCAGAGTTTGTGAATTGTGGCAAGATCTCAATTCCTTTAAAATTAATTTATTTGTTTCAAATCCAGTGAACAGTCTCTTTATCTGTTGATTTAACTGTTTATGTTTTCTGAATATCCTTGCCTAACAGGGAGGAATATATTCTTTAGACTAAACTCATGTTCAAACTTTAGATAACTGGAATATACATTCGATAGATAAATAGATAGATAGATGATAGATAGAGAGATGATATATAGATATTTATTTACATATATCTATATAGATAGATAGATAAATAGATAGATAGATAGATATTAGGAAATCTATTTCTTATCACTAAAAAATCTAAATAATTTAATTTATGGAGGAAAACAGGAATCCTTACATTCGCAAATAAGTCATTTGTTTATTTAACATTTTAAATTAATCAAAAATACATACACACACATATATATATATATAGAGAGAGAGAGAGAGAGAGAGAGAGAGATAATAAAAATGAACAGCGAGACTTAATAGATGGGAATTAAGATAAAAATGTGTGTATTGAACGCAATAAAATATATCCCAGCTATTAAAATCCTCGCCACATTAAAATAAACCAATAAAATAACTTTTAACTAGAATTTGACCCTCCACAGTTCACAGGACGTGAAACCGAACTATACAACGAAGTCCATCCTGAATCTTATTCCGTCGAAAATAGCTGAAGAGACTTTTTACTTAATTATTTAGAATTCAAAGCACAACAAAAAAGTTCAAATTAAGAAATACGAAAAATTTACATTTAATAGGTAAAAATGGGTTTTCTAAAGACTCATTGAACTTTTAGTTTACCGTGGTCCGTGGCAGGACACGGTGATTCAGATGAACAGAATTAATCTCAATATCCATTGTTCACTGATTTAACATAAAAGTTTTGCTTTTCCAGTTAGATACTTTTTTGCTGGTGGATGATAGGTATTAAATGAAAAGTTGAAAAAAGCAACTCAGTAAGTTTAAAGTCTATTGAATTTTAGACCAAAAATCAAACTCATCTATAGCCAGGGTTTGTCGCGTGTGACAACTTTTGAATTGATAATTAATAATCTTTTGTTCCTTCTGATGTAAATTAAATATTCTTATGTGAATTAGATTATTGTGGATGTCAAGTCTATTAGAAACTTCAAGAATGGATTTACACCCATTAATATATTGGAAAAGTCTATATAACCCCCACCCCCACCCTCCAAAAAAGAGAAGTGTAGAGTTTTTCTGGGATATCGTCATTTTCAGATTGGTTGCGTATTTGCTGAATATGATGTGTTTTAATTACGAGCTGACTTGTTCTAAATATTGCTTACATTATTATTGTTATCAAAATTTTTCATGATCTGAGAGTTACTTTTGAAAACATTTATTCCTGTTTCGAGGATTTTTGATAATGAAGACGACATTTTCATATTTTCAATGAAAATATTTTTGAATACTTATTTGCTAAGTTTGACCTAAATCAGAATAAAAGTAGCATGAGATACATCAAACTATAGCAAAATTGGGACAAGGAATTAATTTCTGTGGTCAAAATGGANAGGTTAGAGGGGGGGAGGGTTGTGTACATTTTACTACTAAACCTGCTCACAAATTGATTGGTTAACTTATACCTAAGCTTTCTACCTCGCCTTCTTCAGGATTCATTCTTTGGTAGGTTAATTGAGAAACAGGCAAATTCTAGAAATAGCTGAAAAGGAATTCAGTCTTTGTCACCAACTCTGATTTTCAAATCCCTAATTCTTGTAGACCTTAGATATTTTAAACTATGAATTTATTTAGATCAAATAGTCAACATTTTAAATATCAAATATTCACACAATCAGGTTGCATAGATTTAGTGATAATATATTTGAGTTTATGGAAAAGACTCAATTCCTTTCTAGAATTCTACTGCACGTATCTGGAATTCATAAACCTTCACCTTGACTAGAATAAGGGATTAGTTTTTATATAAAGGAGTTTAAATCAGGGATTATAACGATATAAATCCTATCTGAGCTGGGTTTAATTGTAAAGCAATAGAAAACAAAACACGTCTCAGGGCCCACCGCAGACAGAAACAAACTAGTTTCAGGGCCCACCGCAGACAGAAACAAAACACGTCTCAGGGCCCCACCGCAGACATAAAGAGTTTCAGGGCTAACAACATACAGAATTCTATTGTTTATTTGTATTATATAGCATGCTTCTCAATTTGCTTAATTATTTTTATTTTAACATCAAATAGAAATATTTATAAATATTTATAATATATAAATATCATATATATATTTGGATCTATACAGATATATCGAAGGAACAGAANTGCAAGTTTAAGAAACCAGAAAAGAAGATATTACCTAATATTTCAAGTTTAAAACACCAGAAAGGAATATATTACCTAATACTTCAAGTTAGGACACCAGAAAAGAAGATATTACCTAATACTTCAAGTTTAAAACACCAGAAAGGAATATATTACCTAATACTTCAAGTTAAGACACCAGAAAAGAAGATATTACCTAATACTTCAATTTTAAGATACCAGAAAAGAATATATTGCCTAATACTTCAAGTTAGGACACCAGAAAAGAAGATATTACCTAATACTTCAAGTTTAAGACACCAGAAAAAAATATATTACCTAATACTTTAAGTTAAGACACCAGAAAAGAAGATATTACCTAATACCTAAAGCTTTAAACACCAGAAAAGAATATACTACCTGATATATCAATTTTAAGACACCAGAAAAGAATATATTACCTAATACTGCAAGTTTAAGAAACCAGAAAAGAAGATATTACCTAATACTTCAAGTTTAAGAAACCAGAAAAGAATATATTACCTAATACTGCAAGTTTAAGATTCCAGAAAAGAATATATTACCTAATACTTCAAGTTTAAGACACCAGAAAAGAATATATTACCTAATACTTCAAGTTTCAGACACCAGAAAAGAAATTGGAAAGCTCCTCTGTCTGTTATTGATGTATCCTAGAAACAACAAAACTTTTTAAGTTTTTGAAAAGTAAATAAATAGAAAATCTGGTAAGGATGTTTTTAAATAACTTGTCAATTTTCTAAAATTTTTGACAACAAATTATTTCTATTTTTGAATTGGTTGTTGTTCATCATTTATACCTATTTTTTATTAATTTATTTTTAATTTCATTTTCTTTTTAAACAAAATTTAAAAAGAGCAGTGAATTTCTTTTTCTCCGACCATTGTATATTCTTTTTATCTGATCACAAATTTGTTTTCTGTTCTTCTCTTTTAGATCTAAGCATTCTAGTCTCTTGTAGACAAGGGAAAAATGCATTTTGACACATATTTCTGATTCATACTATTCTTTAATTTGATATCTTGACGCCAGATATATCAAATTAATTATAATAGAACGTTACTGTTTATGAGAAGATATCAGATGTATTTGCAGTTTTCAGAATATCTGACAAACAACTGTTGAAGGTTAGCTTCAACACACAATTTCCTCAATATGCTCAAAGGTTGGAAAAATAAAAATCACTGCTAAGCAGGGTTTAAAAATTCTGAGGATCTCCATTGTCAGAATTCCGCATTTACTTTATAAATTGCGATTCGCATTACTAGGGCTTTATTAAGCATGACTGTAAACCATTAATTGTAGTTTTAATCTTTAGATTTTTTCAAAATGACAACAAAATACAGGATTTACACGTTTTTGTTAAAGCTTTAGTCTGATCAAATAGTTCAGACCAACGTAGAATTAAGCTCAGATTTTTGAGTAGTGTAAGTAGAACCTTAAAGCCTACATACTATTTTTGACTATACAGGGTTACCCACAATTACTAAGGGATAAGACTGTACGGAGATTTGGATTACATTCTTGGTTCCTTTCTGCTTTAAATAGTTTTTTTTCCTTTGTTAAATTAGTAAGACCAAGACAGAAAACAATGTTAAACCAGCAGATCGATAAAATTAAATAAATGTGGTTTTCACTGAACTATAGACTACAGAGAAAGTAAAAATTATGAGACACAAGCTGTAGTGCTCGGCGTTGCCCGTGGATAACAAAAATTGAAAATAACACCCCTCGGCCACCCATGAGTGTCCACGAAAAATTTCAGCCCAATTTGTCCAGCCGTTTGGCCGGCTATAGACAACCAATATATATACGAATGTCTTGTTTTATTATATAGATTACTGTTGCGACTTTCTGACCGCGTAGCTTCTCTAGTTTTGATTTTAAGTATAAAATCTCTGACAATTTTAAAAGCTCAAAAAAGGCAGACCACATTTTGGAAATTGCGGGTCTTTCTGATTCCCACTGTACTAACGTGTATTTTACTTTATATTAAAGTGCATTGTCTCATCTTTTGTGGATAACCCTGTATCTATACATATAAAGTTATAATCTCTGTCTGTTTGTTTGTTTGTTTGTCTGATCATAACTCGGGAACCCCAGGACCGATTTGCCTCAACTAGTTTAATTGGGGAACTCGGGAGACCCAAGAAAATGTTCTTGGCTTGGTTTTGAGATTCTAAGTTGAATTGGTTGACTTTAATAGCAAAAATTTAGTTTCCCGGTAAAATCGTTCAAGTTCGGGTAAACAGCGGGAAAAACTATGAGAAACCTGGGCAGCGCTAGCTGGGTTCCCAAACTAGATTTTTTTAGAACAACTATTTTATTTTAAAGATATTATACTAACAAGAAAAATACCTTTGCCAAAGGAATTAAGTCTTTGCTACACACTAAAATTTTCTAGACCCTTTCGCTTGGCAACATAATTGTGTAAATATTTGATATTTCAAACTTTGATTACTTGATCTTGATTTGAAATGTCTAAAATCTACGATATGGGGTTGCAAACATATAGGGATTAAAAAATCAGAATTAAAAAATCCTTTAGAAATCTTTTTAACAATATTTAAATTTAAAATTTGATTTTAATTTTCTATTTATTATTGTTTAGTTTAAATTTGATAAAGTTTTGTTTTCCTTGATAAGAATTTTCTTGAGAGTAGAGCAAACCCTGAAAGGTTTTTCCGCTTCTAGACCCAGGAACATAGATACCCCTGCAAATAGATACATTCTAAACCAGGAGGATTAAATCTCAGATTCTAATCCAGCGGGATTAAAAATATCAGATTCTAAACCAGGGGAATTAAAAAAATCTTAGATGCTAAACCAGGGGGAATTGAAATATCAGATTGTAAACAAGGGGGATTAAAATTCCAGATTCTAAACCAGGGAATTAAAATATCAGATTATAAACCACGGGGATTACAATCTTAGATGCTATACCAGGGGAATAAAATCTGAGATGCTAAACCAGGGGAATAAAATCTCAGATGCTAAACCAGGGGAATAAAATCTCAGATGCTAAACCACGGGGATTACATCTCAGATGCTAAACCAGGGGAATAAAATCTCAGATTCTAAACCACGGGGATTACATCTCAGATGCTAAACTAGAGGGATTAAAATCTCAGATTCTAAACTAGAGGGATTAAAATCTCAAATGCTAAACTAGAGGGATTAAAATCTCAGATACTAAACTAGAGGGAATAAAATCTCAGATTCTAAACCACGGGGATTACAATCTCAGATGCTAAACCACGGGGATTACATCTCAGATGCTAAACCAGGGGAATAAAATCTCAGATGCTAAACCAAGGGAATAAAATCTCAGATGCTAAACCATGGGAATAAAATCTCAGATGCTAAACTAGAGGGATTAAATCTCAGATTACAATCTCCTCGGATTTAAAACCAGAGGGGGATTAAAATATCGAGTTCTAAACAAAGGTCATTAAAATATCAGATTCTAAACCAGGGGGGATTGAAATATCAGATTGTAAACAAGGGTGATTAAAATCCCAGATTCTAAACCAGGGAATTAAAATATCAGATCTAAACTAGAGGGAATAAAATCTCAGATTCTAAACCACGGGGATTACAATCTCAGATGCTAAACCACGGGGATTACATCTCAGATGCTAAACCAGGGGAATAATATCTCAGATGCTAAACCAGGGGAATAAAATCTCAGATGCTAAACCAAGGGAATAAAATCTCAGATGCTAAACCATGGGAATAAAATCTCAGATGCTAAACTAGAGGGATTAAATCTCAGATTACAATCTCCTCGGATTTAAAACCAGAGGGGGATTAAAATATCGAGTTCTAAACAAAGGTCATTAAAATATCAGATTCTAAACCAGGGGGGATTGAAATATCAGATTGTAAACAAGGGTGATAAAATCCCAGATTCTAAACCAGGGAATTAAAATATCAGATTCTAAACCAAGGAGATCAAAATATCAGATTCTAAACCAGGGGGATTAAAATATCAGATTCCAAACAAATTAATCTTGGTTTTTAAAATACGAATAATTATGATGAATAAATAATAATTGTTTAATGTTTGTTATGTATCCCTGAATCTGTAACAGCTATTGATTTCCAAATATCCAGTAGCTCGAGCTGTCTACAGGTGACACCGATAATCTGAAGCATCGCGTTATCACAAACCTGAAAATATATAAAAATATAAATTTTTCAAAGTTCGTAGAAATCAAAATTGCACGTTTTTAACACACAAAAATAAAATGAAAATTAAATTTAAATCACAAGCATTGAATTAAAAATCATGATAAAGAAAATAACAAAGATTGATAAAATGCCTTTATATCTCAGAAATTCTGTCAATAACATTTAACACAGGAAGAATACAACTTTCTACATTAACATTTCATATTCGATTTTGATGAAGGGGCTTAGGATGTAATATTCAATGACCCTTGCAATAGAAACAACGAAGGAAGGTGTCAAAAGTAAACACACTGTTAAGTCTAGAAAAAAAGAATGTATCTTCCATATTGATGCTTAGAAAAGGGGATTAAGGGTGCACATGTAAATCAGACATTCCCTTTTTACATTTCATGCTAAATGATATGAGTTTTAAGTGGTCCTCTCCGGATTAGACAAATTATCAGAAATTTAATCTTTTTGCAAACTCTAGATTTAATTGCATGTGAATTCCAGGACTTCTGAAGAGTTTGAGCTACAATTTCTGCAAAATGCCGCACGGACTTTTTTATTCAAATAAACTTCAAATTATGCAATTATCTTTCATTCAGCAGATTGCGAGAATCTTTTTATTTATTATTATCTGAACTAGTATTCAGCATTTGAACGTTGATTGGCTTTGATGAGTAGATATGATTCAAGGTTTAGCATTAATACAAGCATAGAGTGTCTTGAATATAGATTTATCGGATGATATCAGAATAAAGTCAAATGTTGATTTATCTCTAAGATCAAAATGCAAATAATCGTAATTGATATGTAACCCGTTTTAGACCCTTTTAAAACTGATATAATATTTCTTTTAAATTTTAAAGTTCGTTATAAAAATTGAAAATTAACTCAGTTACTTGCTTTAATTATTATCTTCTTTATGAGTCAATTTTTTAATAACAATACATTTTATATACCATTCTATTTTAATCTAATTTTTCGGAAATACCGCCAAGAAGATATGGAGCATACAAATTCAAAAGAGAAAGATTATTGCAACCAAGAAAAGGAAATAAAATAAGAACGAAATTCGTACTTTTCTTAACTTATAACATGGCGTGTCCATGCCCCATGCATCTATTTCGCTAGAAAAATAACGATATCTGTATCTTACTTACAAGCTTGGGAACCCAGCTTTGACTAAAAACTAAACTTTCTCAATAAAAGTCAACTCACTCAGCCTCAAATGGTTTAAACAAAGCTAAGAACATTCCCGTGGTTACGCAGTATAAAAGTTTGAGACAAATCGGTCATGGGGTAATGAGTTCGGAGATCGGATATACATACAGTGTAAAAATATATAATGTACTGGCAACCTAAAAAGCAGCATAAAGATGAACTGTGGCCTGGAGAGGATTAAGTAAATAAGATTATACACATAAATATTAGGCTGGAGGGAGGTTTACCAATTAGGATTATACAGGCTGATATCTAGGGATTAGAAGAAAGAAGGTTTATCAAAGGGACTGTCAGCGTAGTTTCAAATGACTCTCCATGCAAAAATGACAATCCCCAATTTGAATTTTGAAACCTTAATCTGATCAAAAATGTGGAAGATACCGTTGTTATTCTGTCTCGAAGGTCGAAAAGCGTTTTTTGTTTGATGATTTCTCCATTGCTTTTCACTTTCACTTTCGTAGAGAAACAGCAAATGAAAATAATCAATTTAATGAAACAAAAACATTGATATATAATTTATACTTAATCAGACATAGTTTTTAAGGGTACCGTTGTAAATCGGGCATTGCCATATCTGTTCGGAAGGTCACTTGAAATTATGCTGACAGTCCTTTAAACTTAAATATCTTCATATATATTTAACTAGACAGAGGGATAAGGTAATATACAACATTACTGGTCCAACCTTGTGACCTTGTAGCCTCTATAGTTTTTATTTTAAGCACAAGTATGAGAAAGCAAAGACAATTTATTAAAAACATTTTTGTTCGTCTCGAAAGCTCTTTGATAAAAGGAGTTCTGATTGAAAACATTTAAGATTGCAATCTTCCATGCAATTTAATTTAGTTTGACTTTTAATCATTGCTTTTTAAGCTTTTTTTCTTCTTATATTTATACAACTAGAGTCAAACATCAATAAACTTTAACCTTCCTTTCTGAAAAAAATTGAGCCCGTCTGATCGATTCAGCCTTTTTTGACGTTAAATGGAACCAACAAATATTTTGATGTTGTGTATAAACGGTGAGCACCAGATAACTCCGGAACGGGAGTACGACTTTTAGTAGTCCAATTAAGCACAGCAATTGTTCACTTTTTAAAGCGATTCATTTAAGTTTATAAATGATTTAAGTAGAAAATCACTATATGTAAAAGTACATCACCAAGTATTGCTTTCGTTTCCTATTCCACAGTTATCTGGTTCTAACTGTTTAAGAATATACTCACCGTACATAATAGTTTAAAAACCAAGGTTCGTGAAGTCGATATTTTCAACCAATAGAACAATTATACACGATTCTACCAAACTAATCTCACAATTTTCAAAGAAAAACTTTTCTTTGATCTTTTAGAAAATATAGAATGCTACACATGAAAAAGTTAGAGTTTTGGCATTTTAATCAATCTACGTATATTTTTGTAATGTTACAAAGCAAATAATTTTAATCAGGAGCAGCTTGAAAAAAAATCAAATTAATCAGTAAAATGGGTTTGTGTAAACTGCACTATTAAATTCGTGTTCGTTGAAATCTATAAAATCAGTAAATATTCCAGACATGAAACGTCTATTGTCAAGTTGAATTACCCGCAGGTTTTACGAATAAAATGAATAAAAAAGAAAAAGAAACAAAATACGGGAAATTGAAACATTAACCTTTGAAATTCGTTTTTTGACAGAATAATCTTTTAAACTAATTGAATCAAAATTAACATTGATTCGATGCGTTTCATCAGAGCAGAATCATCAATTCGATTCAAACCCACCCAGACAAATAACACGGATTCGCTACAACCCTAACATAACAAATTACAGATTTGATCCAACCCTACTGTTTTGATTGGATTCAGTTTCAATAAAAAGCGCATTGATGCAACCCAGCTCCCCAGGTGAGTGAGGTCCTGGATATCATTCCCAAACCTTAAACTCCGTACTCCGTGCTAGACCTGGAGATAAACTCACGAGGAATTCGTCCCGAGTATTTAGATAATGTATAACGGGTTTCAAAAACTCTTTTCTTTGAAATCTGTTATTTTAGACATTTTTATACACTGTGCAGTAGTGCACTCTATTCTGTAAACTGTACACTGTACATTATAAACTGTTCAATCTATACTTTACACTGTACAGTGTACATTGTGCAGTGTGCATTTACTTTACACACTCTACACTCTACACTCTATACTCTACACTCTACACTCTACACTCTACACTCTATACTCTACACTCTACACTCTACACTCTACACTCTACACTCTACACTCTTCACTATACTCTACACTCTACACTCTACACTCTACACTCTACACTCTACACTCTACACTCTACAACTCTACACTCTACACTCTATACTCTACACTCTACACTCTACAATCTACACTCTACACTCTACACTCTACACTCTGTACTACACTCTACTCTTTACACTCTTCACTCCACACTTCAGATTCGACCAATATTTTATTTTGATTTGATTTTGTATAGAATTTAATATTTGAAAACCGTCCTTGAAAAGCTTGGGAATCTTTAGAACCTTGTCCTTGACAATAAACATTTTGGAATGAATAATCTCAATTTGATTTCTGTTTGAATAAGAAGATTGAATTTCATCCAATCAATTCGTTTAACATGTTTGCATCAATATTTCTTGTTGGTTTTTCGAATTTTGTAAATGAAATATTTACATGGCTGCTAAGTCATTACTTTCGTCGTCGTGTTGATTAAAACGATTAAGACGATTTTTGATTAAGACGACTTTTGGTCTCAATTTTTTTATTTCCTCCAGGCTTTCAAACAACATGAGTACACATAAACAGAGAAACAAAGAGAGCTTGTTAATGAACAACTTCTCTTTGTTTACTTGTAAACTTGTAATCTGTAAAAAGCTGGTTAGAAATCAAACTTTAATAGAAAAGTCGTCTTCTTTTATTAATATAAACGCTGACTACGGTAGCATACACGAACAACTTTAAAAAGTAAAGATATCAAATATATGTGTTGTAAACAACTCAGATTCAAATTATAATAGAGGTTTACACCTAAGAACAATCGAAAGATTAAAACCGTGATAATAAAAGAAATTTAGTTTTAAAACTCGATCAGAAATTTAAACTATACACAGTTTCTATCTAAAAGATTAATAATTTCCATTTTTTGTTTCTTTATAATAGTTACTAGCCTTAGAGGGCGCTTCGCGCCCATCTTCTAAATTAATTGTGAACATGTTCTCTTTGTGTACATCGTAAAACAAAACAAAAATAATTCGCGGATTTTCACAAAAAATTTCGTGGATTTTCAAAATTTTCAAAAATTTAATGAAGATCGAATTTTGATGGAGACAAATATTTGAAATTTTGATCATTCATAAACCTTCCCTGTGGTCAGTGATGTCCCACAAAAAAATTTGGGCCCGATCGGTTCAGCCGTTTTGACGTTTATGGGATACAAACAGACAAACAAACAAACAAACAGACAGACAAGCCAAATTTATATAAAGATTTGCGTCTTTATGCAGCAGACATAAAGAAAGAAAATAACAGAATTCAGCAAAGAAAAGAGGAAGATTTCCTCTTTGTTTCTGAAACTAAGATGAATTGGTAATACAACTCTTCAATTGGATAATCACTTGAAACTACGCTTACAGTCCCTTTAAAGGAACTTTAAGCGTAGTTGCAAGTTTCCATAAAAAGATGACAAATTGGTCAAGGGGTTCCTGAGTTATGATGGGACATAAAAACAAATAAACAGAAATTAATACTTTATTTACACAGCTATTGATAAAGAGACTGTAAGCGTAATTTCAAGTGACCATCAATACAAAGACGACAATGCCCGATTTACGCAACGGTATCCCTTAAAAAAATGAAAAAGATAACGCCATTTTTCTGATTCAAAAAGTGTTTATTTCTAAGAGTCTATCCGTTGCTTCTTTTAAGCAAGAAATGCGTTAGTCAGACCCGAATGAAAACATAAATATCTAATTCAAGCAAAGCATTTAAGGGTACCGTTGTAAATCGGGCATTGCCATCTTTGTATTGATGGTCACTTGAAATTACGCTTACAGTCTCTTTATCAATATCTGTGTAAATAAAGTATTGATTTCTGTTTATTTGTTTTTATGTCCCATCATAACTCAGGAACCTCTTGACCAATTTGTCTCAAATATTAATTGGGGAACTCGGGAGAACCATGGGAATAATCTTAGCTTCGTTTCAAGATTTAAGTTGAGATTCTAATTTGTGTGGATCCACTTTTAAAGGGAAAAATAGCTAAAACCGCAATTTACGACTAAGCGCGGGTAAACGGCGGGAGTAACTATGAGTACCCTGGGTTCTAAAGCTAGTATATTTTTACTCGCAAAGCTATTTATATTCTTACCTTCCATAGTGTAAGAGATCTGACGTTAAAGAAACCTCTGAGAACTCTCTTCACAAGATAACCTTCCTCTACACTAATATCCGACCTCTCAAACATCCTCAACTTCATCTGCTCGAGGTCATGACCTCCCGGGGTCCCAACATTATTCAGGAGGTCAAGCACGGTCACTCTATCCACGGATCTGACTAGAACAGGAAGCTCGAGATACCGGATATCCGGACTGTAGAACACGTAGAGGAACGGAACTAGAAGATCCGGAACCAAGAAGTCCCTGATGGCAGACCAGTTCTCCTTCTGGATTAAACTACTCCCGAACCTAATCAGCTCCTCCCGTACACTCTACACAAACACATAAACATTCAAGCTTTTAAGTACATGTTGTCCACAAAACATGTGACTAGCAAAAAGTCAAAGTTAACTGACTACCCTGTTATCTAAAAAACATTTCTTAACCTTGCATACATCCTTGTCCCATAAAACGTTTTAAATTTGTTTTAGTGACATTAATATTCAAAGATGATACAACCCATCCTATTTCTAGGCCTAGACAACAGGATACAAGACGTATCCTTTATATTCATATTTATCCTTTCCTCACCAGTCCATTCTTTGCCCATTCTTTCCTTCCTCATCCTTTCTTTATTCATCCTTTCCTTACCCATTCTTTCCTTATGTATCCTTTCCTTGTCAATCCTTTCCTTGTCAATCCATTCCTTGTTCATCCTTTCCTCACCCATCCTCTCTTTACCTATTCTTTCCTTAACCATTCTTTCATTAATCATCTTTTCTCTATCCATACTTTCCCTACCAATCCATTTCTTACTCATGCTTTCCTTATCCATTCTTTCCTTATCAATCATTTCCTTATCCATTCTTTCCTTATCCATTCTTTCCTTACCCATTCTTCACTTACCCATTCTCTCCTTACCCATCCTTTCCTTGCCCTTCCTTTCCTTACCCATTCTTTCCTTACCCATTCTTCACTTACCCATTCTCTCCTTACCCATCCTTTTCCAACCCATTCTTTCCTTATCCATTCATTCTTTACCCATCCTTTCCTTACCCATCCTTTCCTTACCCATCCCTTTCCAATCCATTCTTTCCTTATCCATTCTTTCCTTATCCATTCTTTCCTTAATCATTCTTTCCTTATCCATTCTTTCCTTATCCATTCTTTCCTTAATCATTCTTTCCTTAATCATCATTTCCTTAATCATCAGTTCCTTAATCATCATTTCCTTAATCATCATTTTCTTAGCCTTTCCTTTCCAACCCATCCTTTCCTTCCCCATACTTTTTTACCCATCCTTTCCTTATTTATTCTTTCTTACCTAATCCATCTTTTCTCTATTTTACTTTTCATTATTTACCCTTTCCTCGCAAATCCTTTCCCTATCTAATTACTTTTTTCCCCAAACTTTTCTTGTTACAAGATTTTCAAGATTTTTAACATTTGAGATTTTGTGAGATATAAATAACTATGAACTGATTTGTTATGTGATGGTTCCTTAGCGACAGATTCTCTGAAATAATCTCCGATCTGTTTTCTGAGAACTCGGAGACAGACTGCGTCTGAGATATAATGTCTGTGTTTTCGAAGGACGCAGATAACCTGCTCCATATAGGCCTTGGAGCACAGAACCTGGAGACATGTTGGCTGGAACCTCACTGGTCTATACAGGGAACAGATCATCAATTATATATCTTAATATCCCCTCCTTCATTCCAACATCTTTAATCTTAGATAATAAACATGACCCAGCGCTAGTAGCTTCGGGCAACCACGCCAAATTTGCATAAACACCATATTATGGGAAATAAAGATGTAAAAATTCCCTAGACAAGTCTGTTCGCAACGTAGAAAAAAGCTTTAAGAATTAGTGCATAAATATTAGAATTTGTGTCCACAATTGAACATATCTATCTGGGGCGTATTCTGAAATTTGGCCCGAAGGGTTTCTCTATCGGGGNAATTATCCAAAGGGGGGGGGGCTGACCACCCAGAGCCCCCCCCTGAATAAACCTCTTAATTATCTTTATTTCATTGAAGTATTTGCATTAAGTGTTTTAAAAAAATGAAGTAACTTTAATGAAAAATAGAAAGGTATCGTAAAAATATCAAAAGACATTAATGTATCTTAAAAGTTCAAAGCACGCAATTTAGATCCTGTCTGTGTATCAGTGCAACTGCTTTATTTTTTAATCCGGCTGTGAAGATTAATATGACAGCAATTGTTTGTTAATGAGAATTTTACCAATAAGTAGCAATAAATAAAGTAGAGGATAATTAATATATTCTATTCTTTTTCTTTGTTATGAGGAACAAAAAAAGACCTTTCTCGTTGTTGACAAAGCCAGCGCGCAAAATTGAAAAATTCCATACAAATTATTGAAATGCCAAGGAGGATAATTGAACTGGGATGTGACAAAGAAATGTTCAAACTTGAGAGTACAATGAACAAATGGAATTTCAACTTTTTGATCAAAGAACAAATTTTAATATTTTCTTTGTTAGTGACCCACTGTCAGGGTGTCACCCCCCCCCCCTCCTCCTGAAAGGGACTGTAGACGTAATTTCAAGTGCTTCCATTTATAGAGTGACATGTTCGAATCCTAACGGTACCCTTTAAACCTTTGTCTGCTCAAGCAGAAATTTGATTCTTTTTTTAATTGTTGCTTTTCTATGAGAGACAATGGAGGCTAATAGCCAGGTTTCAACACATTTAAACATAGAAAAACAACGATATCATCCTCACTTTAAACATAGATTTAGTTCAGTTCAGAATCAGAAATTAAATATTAGGTACTTTTCTAAAGGATTTTTCCCAAATGGCAACTTCCCGAGAGTTAGGGTAGGACAGGCCCCATTAGGCGCCGTTAAAGGCTGCAATGGGGACCGAGCACTGCGGCTAGGACAGACTTGGGAAGTTGCCGCTCAGGAAATTGCACATTTGGGAAGTTGCTACTTGGGAAAATGTAACTTGGGAAGTCGCCCTTGGGAAAATGCCTTTGGGAAAGTACCTAACACCAAAAATTACACTATTAAAATGCATAACTCGAAATTATGCCTACAGTTCCTGTAAATCCCTCCTCACCTCCCTCATTAATCATAAATTAGAATTTCGCTGTGTAATAAATCAAAAGTCAGGTAATTTGAACTTTGGGAAATCAGGAAAAAACTTTGTCTTTTTCAATTATATTTTTTTTCAATCGTATCAAATTCTTACTTTCTAAAATAGAATGGGATTAAAATTGAAATATAGTACGGTTTGAGTTTTTTTTAGAAAACCTCATTTAAAGATTTGATAAAAAATTTTGTGATATTTGATTGATAAACCCTTCCTTATGTAGCTCATAATCTTGACTTCTAAACCTCGATCAAGTCACTGAAACACTGTCAGCCCTTACTCTGAACTGAGTGGTTTCAAAATATTAAGATCACTTATTCACTTTCTTCACCATACATCACTGCACTTTGCACTCATTTGTAAAAACTGACTCGCAAGTCCTTTTCACTGACAGCTGGTGGAATTTTAGAAAAGTCCTTTGTTCACTTTTGTACCAAAGGGTCCAGGGGGGTTTAATCCTCAGCTACCCATTATACTAGGCCCACTCACCACAATTCAAATCAATCCTGAAATTGTAAAAAATCGATTACTAAAAAAATTCTTTCAATTAAAGATATTTTTTATTTCAAATCTGATCACCCCCCCCCCTAAAGATTTAGAAAGCAATTTTAAATAAAAAAGAGCGTATCCCTGTTCATACCTCGGTGGTAGCGCTGCCGCAACTGATAAATCCTAGGGAACTGTGCGCGTTGCGCGCCGCTCAACCATCCTCACGCGCGTAGTTCCCAACCAGGCTTATTTACCCACTAATATAATCTCCTAGTCATTCTTCGAGTGCACCATCAACTTATTTATTCATTATTAAATTCAAAATATTTAATCCTCCATACAATCCAACTAATTCTAATCTCATTAACTTTAATTAGTTAGAAAATAATGTATTTTAAAATAATAACAGAAAAATCAAGGATTTTTTATGCCACCATCAGCAACAGGAAAGTTTCATAACCTTTAAATGAAATAATTTCATCTAGAAAAGATTTAAAGCAGCAAAGTTCATAAATCCCAAGGGTTTTTGGTAAGTTTTGACTGTTTAAGTAAAAACTATTTGTACGTCAATGTCTGTCCACGATTTTGGACTTTGCAATTTTTTCAGTTTTAGATTCTCAGTGGACAATTTGAACATAATGATATAAAGAATTATACTTTTTATCGATTAGTTGAAAGATAATATTTCAATTGAACGATTTATCTCTGATTCACTCTACTCTAATCTTCATACAAGGAAGTGATCAGTTCCTACTTGGTCCTACACTATACAAGGTTTAACTATTTAAACTTTAATCTGAAGTGCACACACATGGTGTCTCAGAAATGATAAGTTTTTTTAACCATAACTATAATTTGAAGAATTTCGGGTGTTAAAATGATATTTAGTACACACTGTATCATAAATGCTAAGTTGTTTATCATGTATTCTGAGACACCCTGTATATATCTGTAGACCTCCCTTGTTAAACAGATTCAATGGCTGTAGGCACCAGGACCTATACAATATCAAGCTTAGAGGCTCTTCACCATCAAATAAAATACAGGGTTATAATAACTGCAATAAACAGGGATATAATAACTACAATAAACAGGGATGTATTATCTACATTAAACAGGGAAATAATAACTACAATAAACAGGGATGTAATATCTACAATAAACAGGGATATAATAACTACAATAAACAGGGAAATAATAATTACAATAAACAGGGAAATAATAACTACAATAAACAAGGATATAATAACTACAATAAACAGGGATATAATAACTACAATAAACAGGGAAATTATAATACTACAATAAACAGGGAAATAATAACTACAATAAACAGGGATATAATAACTACAATAAACAGGGATATAATATCTACAATAAACAGGGATATAATATCTACAATGAACAGGGAAATAATAACTACAATAAACAGGGATATACTATCTACAATAAACAGAGATATAATAACTACAATAAACAGGGATATAATATCTACAATAAACAGGGATATAATAACTACAATAAACAGGGAAATAATAACTACAATAAACAGGGATATAAAATCTAAAATAAACAGAGATATAATAACTACAATAAACAGGGATATACTACCTACAATAAACAGGGATATGATAACTACAATAAACAGGGATATGATAACTACAATAAACAGGGAAATAATAACTACTACAAACAGCCTGGGTAGCATTTACACAGTTTATTGTATTTTGCACGTCTTCTGTGATACATAATGAAAGATTTAGTACAATTAATCTGTTACACAATGTTTTTATATATAGTACGTGAATAAAGTATTGTACAGTACTTTTCTTCCGTGGTACATAAAGCATCATTGTACTTAACGATTTATTCTGTAGTACATGATTTACAAATTTCAATGCATTTTTACAGTGTTTGTGAAGAGTGATTTCTTTGGTAGATAATGCAGTATTGTACAATTCATATTTTCATACATAAAAGACAAGATTGTGCAAAATAATTTCAAACGTGTATTATAATTATAAATTGCACAGTACATATTTCCCAAAGTATTTTCTTTTGAAAAATAGAGTTAAAAGATCAAACTAGGCTGCACGTCAAACTAACATAAATTCCACGTATAAATGAAATCTGATATGTTTTCAATCATTCCTTAACTTACTGTATGTAGAGATATCGAGAAGAAAAAAAATGTTTTGAATTTCTAATGTGGACCCGGATAAACCTGTGTTCTCATACTTTGCAAAAATCCAAATTAGAGGAGCTACGAGGTCACAAAGTCGTAGCAGTAACGTGTAAATGTAATTTACCAGTGTTCAGTTTAGAAAACTTGAGCAAATTTTATATTTATAATTTTATAATAAGGAACAGAACACTTGCCACAAACTCTAATTTTAAAATTCGGATATGTTTGCAACCTGGTGGATATGTTTGCAACCTGGTGGATATGTTTGCAACCTGGTGAATCCAAACTTTCATTTTTTAAACCTAGACTGTTTGACCTAATTCAAAGTTTAAAATATAAAAGGCATCTAGTTCCTTGGATATATATGGATTAGAAAACTAGAAGGTGTGATGAGTGTTAATTCAGTTCCTTTATATTATTTGAAGATTGTTCACGTATATTCTTCATTATTTGCAAAACTATCTATAATCTTCATTTCTCTACAATGGTATGCAATTATATCAATATAATGAAGACGGCTTTCGATTTAAATTTTGATTTATATCAAGCTGTTTAACAGCATGGATACACATAAACAGAAGTCAAGAGAAGCTGTCCTTTTAAAAATTGCTTCTCTTTGATTACTTGTAAACTTGTAATTCGAAAAAACTTGTCAACAATTAAAACTTAAATAAAGATTCGTCATCGCCTACCTCTGTAATTAAAGATTTATAATGTTTGTAACAGGTTTCATCCGTACTCTCAGTATTCAATACTAAACCTGGAGCTACCTTCTACCTCAGATCGGAGAGGGAGGACGTAGAGAAAGGGAGGGGAGGGAGGGATCATGAAATGGATAGGAGGGGTGTAGAGGAAATGTTACACCTTGCCGCTTTTATCGTATTGGTGGTGTTTCAGCTTAGCCCCTCCCATATTAATAGACTACACACCTGGAGACACTTTTTTAACAAAAAATTGGAATTTTCGCCAAAAAAAATATTTTTTCACGAACAATCATAATTTTCATTTAAAAATGTTGGAATTTCGAAAAATAATTTTAGAATTCTTTCTGGTTGCGTAAATATGATTGATTTTGTTCACAGGAGGTTTTAATTCTAAGGATTTAGCTCTATCCAATACAATTCATCCAATACCTAATACAGGCAGACTCAAAATATTTACTTCCATATTATAGTATCTAATCTATATTTATTCTTTGCTTGGCTGTCTGTCTGTTTAAAAATGCACGAAAAAATATTATTAAATCCGCGAACTTTTTTTTTTACTGTTATATATTGTACAAAGAGAAGATGCTCATAAATAGAGCCACAAAACAAAGTTGAAATAGAAGATGGTCGCACAAGGCCTTAAAAACCGAGACTAGAAGAGACTAAAAGATATTGATTTTATAAAGAAACTGAATATTCGCCTCAGACCACTAAAGAGAATTGCACGTAAGATTTATGTATATACGTAAGATTATGTATATACGTAAGATTATGTATATACGTAAGATTATCTATATACGTAAGATTATGTATATACGTAAGATTATGTATATACGTAAGATTATGTATATTAGTAAGATTATGACTATATACGTAAGATTATGTATACACGTAAGATTATGTATATACGTAAGATTATGTATATACGTAAGATTATGTATATACGTAAGATTATGACTATATACTCAAGTTTACAACTAGACACAATATTTTATTTACTTTTTATCAATCACATGAAATCTTTTTTTTGCGGATTTCTGTATTTAAGAAATGCAAAAAATGTTTGAAATATATGTATGTGCAGTGAAAAGTATTATCTCTGTATACTAGAAATGTTGGATTTATGCTAATACTAAAATAAAAACCAAATATTTGTATGAACGCTTCTAAACCCAATTAAATTTTCAAATTTAATCTTACAGTTTAGAATTACCAATCAAAGTCCAAATTTAATTAAATTCACGAAAAGTGAAATTTTTGCAAAATCTGTAATTTTATTTTCATCATGCTCTTTATATTTGTCCAAATTGTCGAAGTAGCGTGCACATATTTATATCTAAATAATAAAACAAGGCATATATGTTACGTATTGCAGGCCAAACGGCTGGACCGATTGGGCTGAAATTTTGTGTGGACTTAATTTTTTTTCCACGGGCAATGCCGGGTCCTTTAGCTAGTATTTATTAAAAAAAGACTTGAATTTGAGAGAAAATTAGAATTTGTAACAAAAACTCAATTCCTTTCTTATCGTTAATAAGTTAATTTGGTTTATTTTGAAAGGAGTTGGTTATATCATTCCTTTATCTGCATCGTCATTGTAGCCAGGTGAACACACATGAACACAAAGAACGAGCGTTCAATGACGACCTTAAACTTTTAAAATATTAATCATAACTTTTTAAGGTTTGAATTAAACTAGCGTTGCCCGTGGAAATTTTTTTTTAATTAAAAAAACAAAATTTCGAATTTTTTTTAGCCTATGACACCCCCCCGTCACCCATGAGTGTCCACAAAAAAAATTCAGCCCAATCGATCCAGCCGTTTGGCCGGCTATACGCAACATATATATATATATACGAATGTCTTGATTTATTATATAGATATAGTTTTTTTTATTGGAAAACTAAATTATATGGCAACGAAAGAAACAAGCTTTAATGTAAAAAAGCTAAATTATTTGCGTACACTGTGCTGTTTTCTCTGAAGTTTGAACCTTTAAGAGTGTAACCCTGTAAACCATATCGCCGAGGGCAGTTCGTTACATGATAATCATAATAATTACACAATAATATCTTAAATTTACGATCATTTATCAAATCTTAAATTAAGATTACAACATACAGTTCAATTGCTAATTGACAAACTTCAAAAGATTGATTTTTTGCAGCAAATAGGGAGGCATTTTGTATTTTATTTATTTATCTAAACTATTATTTAACATTTGCTCCAAGATCCTAAGAAAATGAGTAACTTAGTTTATTAGTAATTGCAAATATTATAATCATTTACAACGACTTTACAGGGAAGTCAAGGGAATTATACTTTACTAAGGTTTCTCAAAACC